GACCTTTCTGTGAACGGTGGAAGATGCTTGAGAAAGAAGTGATTGAACCCAGGAATCAGGAACGGTACCAGGGAAAAAATCCTTACTATAGATATGACATGGAGCCTTTCAGGGTATGCATTTCTGACCTGAAATTGGGCATATAGCTCTTGCTTTATTTTTCTCCTTGGTAATTGGCTGTTGATAAATCTGAAATGATTAGGTGAGGAGGAAAGATTTTTGGTTGCTGTCTACCGTCACAAAACTTCTGATAGAATTCATTCCAAAACTCTCGCACGATGCAGATGGTCTCATATTTCAGGTAGGTAATGGGTGGAGATCATTTTCATTTGTCCTGAATATTGATATTGATGAGATTATCTCTCTGACCTGTGAATAACTTGCTTCTGGTTCAATGCTAAGCTGGCAAGTAACCAATATTATAATCACACGGCTTTTAGCCTTTAAGATATTTTGTTTTTCTCATCGGTTCTCTCTCCCATCAGGGTCTACATACTACTGCATCTTATTCAGCATGAGAATGGATATCCTTGTGCCTTCTATAGCCATCTTAATATAATGTCCAGTCCAGTAAACTGTAAAAGAGACATCATATCTAGCCTAGCTTATAGAGGACCAATATTACCTAGACTAGCTTATAGTCTAGGCACATTGGTCCATTCATTTATTTACTCTTTACCAGAGTCTTTCCTTTTTCTTTCCTTGTTCTTACTGACTATCTATGATCAGGGATGGGATGATCCTTATGTACCTCGCACTCATGAAGGTCTCTTAAAATGGAAATATGCTGATCTGAATTCAGTTGATTTTCTCTTTGAGGTGATATTTTTCAACTTAATATATACGTTGTTGAATATTGCTCTTGATGTTTCTCGCTCCACTTATCATTTGGTCAGTTCTTTGTTGCTAATGCCCCCAACTAACATTTAGCTGCTTGTGTTTGACAGATTGATGATGACTGTCAGCTGCTTTTTCTCCATGAACGTGGGAAAAAAAAGCTTATGGAAGGGCATATTGTTGCACTCGAAGGTCAGGAAGATTTTCTTTATTTCATTACACCTGTCCAACTCATTCAGTTTTGTTGTTAGTTGGTTGAATATCTACTATGTATTTTGTAGATATCAGTGTATATCTGAGAAAATTTTGAACATCTTCAAAGATCTTAAGAATGTAGTGGAATGAATTAGTTATTTCCTAATTTAATCTTGTTTCCTTATTTTACAATGGTTAGTAGTCCTATTGTATCAGTGGGCTTGTGCTTGGGCTAGTAATAGTACATTATACTTTACCAAAACTATTGTTATAAATAAATAGGAAATTGACCATTTAGTAACACATTATTACACTGCATATATAACAGCTTATTTTTTGAAAATTTTATTCCCTCTTTCGCTGTAGTACAAACACCTCTGGAAAAAAATGCGTGTCTGTATCAGTGTCGGACACTGACACAACACCGACACTTGTGATTATATTCAATTTATTCATTTTTTCAAATTATTACCGGTGTCGACATGTCAGTGTCGTGTTCGTGTTTCACATCCCTCTTTCACCATCCACTTTCCCTTACCTAAATACTATAATTTCAATTAGCAATAGGATTTCATGCTTCATTGTTTTTTTTTTTTTTTTAATTAAAAGCATTCTTTGTATCGTTGTGGAATAATGAACCATGTCATGGCTTCGTTTGTTTCTCAGCACTTACAGGTTCATGTGCTAGTTTGGTGTCCAGATCGGTGGTTTTCTTATCACTAGAACCACTTTCTCGCACCCACCAGAAAGTTGGATATGGGAATTGGTGTCTAAGTTTATCTGCAATAACATTTTAGAAATACTTAGTGCATGATTTTGCCATGTTTATGTTTCGAAGTCTGCAGCTTGTCCAGTTTTTTTAGTTGCATTCAGTTCGGAGCAAATGTTTAATGAAAATCTAAAATCTGCAGAAGGTTCAGACCCTATGTCTTATTCCGGAAAGATCATTGAGTGTGCTTGGGATGGAGAAAGAAATGAATGGATATTCAAGCGAGTCAGAACAGATAAGTCGACTCCCAATGACTTTAATACTTACAAGAAGGTCCTTTACCAACTCCTTTGATTTTAAATTTCCTTTTTGTCTCTCATTCTATATAACAATTTAGCCATTTGCTCAATTTATTGCAGGTGATGCGAAGTATAAAAGACAATATCACAGAGGATGTCCTGTTGAATGAAATAAATGAGATAATCCGCCTTCCCATGTATGCAGACAGGATTAGAATTGATAGCAAAGCACATCACCACACTAATACAGCTAGGCGAAGGTAATCGTCGAGGAACTTGTGGTCTGCAAATCTGATAGGAATGGATCGACTTTTCTTTATCGTATTATATCAGACCTCTGTTCTATCAAAATCTTTCTCTAGTGGGAGAGACATGTTGGAAGTGAAATCTGTTGAAAGCTAGATCTGGTCTACAAATGGCCATCTTCCAAGGGTTCGTCACATCATGTAATTACTTAGCTATTAGTTAATGCAGTAATTGATACGGCTCAAATTCAAGCCATAAACCATTTCTTATGGTTATATCTAGATGAAGACTTAGGCTTAGGATCTCAATGTATAGCATTTTATAATTTTCTTTGTTAAGTAGTGGTTATAAGTTGCTGAAAGGTAGTGGTTTACCAGATTCAAGTTTCATTACTTAGGTAAGAATATTCCCTGTATGTGAATATTAAATTGGGGGAGTTTTAACAAGCATTTGATTATCTACAATGTGGAATTTATTTTGCATTTACCTATTTAGTGTAAGCTATGTTAAGATGAACTTATCAAGTTACTACATCGAATTATCCTCAAGTAGCTCGTTTGAGTTTCAAAGGTTCATGTTCTTCTCCATTTTATACGAGAAATTGAGGGCTTTATTTATTGAAAAGATACACGAATAAAAGATGCAAGATCATTTATGGAAAAGATACACGAATAAAAGATGCAAGATCATCTCAATAACAGTTTCCAATAAAGATATATTTTGGTAAAGAAAAAGTTGTGTGAGAATGCAAGGGTAAGTTATGTATTGCATTAGACAAAACACACCACATAAAAATTACTCTTTTGTTACAATTTCAAGTGGTGCTATGATTCATATCATACTATAAAATTTCGAACACTATACAACACCATCGTTCTCATTGCACAGCCACGTACGAATCCATCTGCGCTTCAAGCCTTCCTGTATAGGTGTTGGTCTGAAACACTTCAAAGCTCAAAGTCACACCTGTGTCTGTCCACATGTTAAGAAAATGAAGTTACTTTTCAACAAATTAATAAATGTGTCATAACAGGCTAATAGTCTTATGGAGTATTGGAAATCTAGACATACTGAAACAGAGCTTTCAAAAGCTCTTAATTCCAGGCTAGGAAAACTTAAAACTTGAAGAAAAATAAGTGGTTTCCCTAAACAAAGAAAAGAACATAGCAACAATAGTTCTAAATCAACGGTGGAGCTGAAAAATAGATAGACCTTAACCAATTTGAAAGCAGCCAAGAAAATCAAATCTACTGTTTGTTTCAGAAAAAGATCTAACTAGATGTAGGGGTTTTCTATCTGAAGTATAATGCAGAAATTGTTTGTCTTATCTCACATTATTCTAAGCTAGGGTTCTTTGCAAACTTATAAGGTCTTTATGAAACTATACCATACTGAAAACACTTCAACTTTCTCCCAAAAAAAAAGATTTACAGCTGAAAGTTAATATCCTTTAGAACCTCTAGAGTCAACTAAACAAAATAGTCTAATATGAAATGAAGACGCAAAAAAGATGAAATGAAGAGGAAACTTCATATCACCAGCTATACAAAGGACAGACAACGCGAGTTGATGACCAACAATTGTAATGATGTATCCCCATCACGATGAAATTTTAAAAATTACCCGGGCCTGTCGACCAAAGCTATAGACTCGTTGAATACAACAGTGTAGCGCGCGTGCGGCCCAGAACATCTAAGAGCATCACAAACCTATTATTGCCTCAAACTTCCGTGGCCTAAGCGGCCACTTCATCTGTTATGTAGATGTGAAGATAACTAAATGCCTTTCACATCATCCTTGTGCGATCTTTGAGGTTATGATGGTCGGCACTATCCAATGGAGTTAGCTTACATAGCAAATTCTTCTATCAAAAAAAGTGACACTGATGGATTATAGATGTTTATTTCTAACTGAATTATGAAATTGTAAGTATTCACTTGACCCTGCTTCTATTTTATGTTTCTGTCCTCTGCATTGTCTTAGTAAAAGTTATTTCATTCAATTTTCAAGGATTACAGGCATTAACAACCTATGCTATAAAACTTTAACCGGTCATTGGCATGACCATTGTACTAATTGAACTAGTGAGTCTTAAAATGAACCAGTTGAATTGGTATATATAATAATATAAAAAAATTCATAACTGTAGATTTGATTATGACAAATATTCCAAAAATAGATTCATATCATACTTTAACATTTCATACTATAGTGGAATATACATTCACAAACAGATTTTCAATTGTATGATTCTAATGTGGAACATCATTTGCAACTGTTATGGTGACTCGGCAGACATTAAGTCATCAGTTTCCATATCAAATCAGTCAAGTTAAATCAAATTTCATCAGTATTTCCAATCTAATTAGTGGCTTTGACTGATCACATGATCAGTTCCGCGATGAATCGAATGGACCAAGCCTTTATTATACCTGATTCTCTTCACCTTCTAGACATGTTATATGTTGTTACTATAAATTCTTCTAAAACAGTCTCATAGTGCTTATGTCAATAGATAAACTCAATTAAGTCAATTCAATCACCATATGCATTAGTTTCATTCAATTATCAAATATATCATCAAAATCATCCATAGCCATCAATAAGCCAATAACAAACATAGCTAGCTACTCTATTGAAACAAACATATACTCAAACACAAGTTCAGATGCAAACTCACCTCAAACAACAAAGATCAAGCAAACATACACAAATCAGAACACTTGCAACACAGGTCTTTTCCCAAGCCTCTTGATCTCTCTATCCATTTTTCCAGTAATCATCAACCCAAACATTTTGAAATCACAAACAAATGACCAAAAGGGGTGTCCAAAAGTGGCAGGAACATTCTTCTCAACAAAGAAATGACTATACCAAGCACACCCATACGCAGATAAAGGAACAAAGAACAAAAACCACCAACTAAAAAAAACCGAACACACCAAGAACAAAATACTCAAAAGCGTTCCTACAAAGTGCCAATGCCTCGTAGCTCGTTTAGAATGTTGACTCACATAAAAAGCCCAGAAATCTTCCAAGTTTCTGAAATTCATTGGGTTCGTTAAAGTATAATCAAAATCAGATTTTTTTTCAAAACCCAGTTGGGAAAAAGGATGAAAATCTATGTGGGGTTTGAAATTGAAGAGTGTGAAATTGGAATAAAAGTTGGAATTTTGGGGGAGAATTATGCGTTGAATTTGACGAAAGTGTTTTGTGTTGTTTTGTGGGTGTCGTGTATGGATTGGATTGGTTTAGCTGTCTTTCTTGTAATTGGATTGGATTGAAATTGATATGAGAGAGACTTCTTATCAATCCTCATCCTTTTTCTTTCTTCTTCTTGAAAATATCAAGTAACCTAAAAACAAAGATTATTTCTAATAATTAAATAATCAAACACACAAGTTTGATGAGTTTCAATTTTACAGAAGTTTTTAGGTTTTTTTTACCCCAACATTCCATTTTAAAACTAATAATACCAATATATTTTATGTTGAAAAAAAATAACACAAGTGTCTTGCATTAAGAACCTGCTCGTTCACTGAAGTGCGAACAAATAAAGGGAATGATTGTTAGGTAGGTATTCATCTAATGAGATGGCAAGCACGTGAAGGAGGTATTTTTTTGTTTTATTTATTTATTTTATTTTTAGTTATATTTAATTATATATTTAATTATATTATTATATTAATTATATATTTAAATATATTATTATATTAATTATATATTTAATTATATTATTTTTAGTTATATTTTTAATTATATTTAATTATATTACTTTTATTTTAATTAAATTTTATTATATTACTTTTAATTTAATTATATATTATGTTATATTAAATTAATTTAATTATATTATGTTATATTAAATGGGAAAAATGTGAAAGATATAATAATTTAATTTTTCTTTCTGTCATGTATTAAAAAAGAATGACTGATGTTCGTCCGTGGAGGTGTAAAGTTTGTACAGAGTCTTGGTCATTGAATGACTGAGTTCAAACGTAACTTTTTTTTTTTTATAAATAAACGTATTGCGCATCAGCACATATCATTCGTGTCTAGTGACTCGTGTTTTAAAAATGTCTGTCTGAGCTCTTGTTTTTTATGGATAAGAAAAAAACAGTGTTAACCTAGATCCGCAGTGGAATTTCAGAATCGTGGTTGCAGCAATTAACACGGGGTTTCGGCAGTTGGGCGGTCGTCGCATGACGGTGAGAAAAATGGAGTATCGTCCGTATATAACGCTGACTAATGCTAGTCCGGAGGGTACGTACATGTATTACTTGGATCGTATAGAAAATGATGATGATGTCCAATGCATGTTTTCAACACATAGTGGCGAAGTTAACAGATGAGTCACAGATCCACTTGTGTTGGTTGCTGTTGTTGGTTAGCGTGTATGTTAGCTTCCTGAGTTTTATTTTTAAATTTATGGTTGTAATTTGCTAGTATTGCTGTAATTTGAAAGTTGTCTTGAATTACAAATAAATGTTGGATCACATAGAAAACTAGTGCGAGCAAAATATATAAAATTATCTAGGCGGTCGGTTTGACGGGCCGGCAACATTAGGACATTTTCTACGCATATGATCTATTTCTCTGCAAATCCCACACCTTCTCTTTTCTTTTTCAGCGTTGTCCATCTCAGTTCTAGTTCTACTACTAGTTGGACGTCCCTTTTTATTTCTTCTCATGGAATCGTCGTGGCATAGAGTAAAACCTTCATATTTTGGCCAGTTCTCCTAGTGCGGTAGTCCCAGGAAGTTTTCTTTGTAGACTTTGAATACATTAAGTACTATGAAGACCTCTGGAATGTGAAATGTGTAGTCTTGTCGTATGCTAGAACATGTTGCGATCACGTGGGAGCAAGGCAAGTGAAATGCTTGAAATTTTCCACAATCACACAAACGATTCCTCAGGTCAACGCTGAAAGTACTCGTTGGACGACCATCGTTTTGATTAATTTTTTCCTACACCATGAAACAAAATCTTTTGCGATAAAATTACATGACATTGTGTATGTTAGCGTTGGCTACCTCATCATACATTCCCTTGTTACAATCATCTGTGAAAACTTTTCCTGTAGCTAGCATTTTGGTCCATTTGTGTCCTCGTTTACCAAAGAGTGAACCCATTCGATAGTATGTAGACTGGACCAAAGCAATGATTGGAAGGTTTCTAGTTGCCTTTAGTACAGAGTTTATGGCCTCTACCAAGTTAGATGTCATATGTCCCCAACGTTGCCCTCCGTCAAATGCTCTAGCCCACTTCTCCCTAGGTATGTTGTCTATCCAATTTGAAGCCTCAATGTTTGTTCTTCTTATTTCTCTGTGATAGTAGTTAAATGTAGCCTCTATCAATGCGTAACCTGTAATAGAAATTGTGTGAAAAACATAATAAAAGTGTGATACAAAACTTGAGATAAGTGAAATGTATTTTGTTACCCATGTTAACAAGTTTTTTGCGTAGATCTTTGTCCTTAATCTCGCGTATGAAGTTCTGAGCAATGTGTCTAATGCAGTAGACATGTGAAGATGGTGGATGTTGCCATTCGTTTTCGGGATTTTTATATGCACTCTTTATCGATTCATGTCTATCAGAGATTAAGCACAAATTAGGTTGTGGTGTCACGTGTAATCTCAGGTTCCTTAGAAAAAAGCTCCACGCTTCCTTTGTTTCACCTTCAACCAATGTGAATGCTATTGGGAAAATATTTGCGTTACCATCCTGTGCCACCGCCATCAATAGAGTTCCTCTGTACTTTCTATACAACCAAGTTCTGTCTACTTGCACAATGGGCTTACAGTAGGCGAATCCACGTATACATGGACGAAATGCCCAAAACAGACGATGGAATATTCGTTTTCCAGAGATTTCGGAACCATCATTTGAAATTTCAGGTAGGGTTTGCAAATCTATAATGGTTCTTGGAAGGTAAGTTTTCATTAACAGTATCCACTGTGGCAGGTCGTTGTAAGTTGTTTCCCAATTGCCATAGAGAGACTCTATGGCCTTACACTTAGCGATCCATGCTTTCCTGTAAGATATTATGTACCTATATTTTTCAAGAATAAGGGCAACGATCACCTTCACCTTAAGTGAGGCGTCTCGATTGACAAGTTTTCTGATGCTATGGCTAATCATTTCTGAACTGAGATTCCTATGGTCTTGTGCCATAGACGTGGTAGTGCATATGTGAGGCTCAGACAGCTTACCGATCACCCATTTAAAGTTCCTTTTTCTCAAGGAAGCTCTGCACTTGAAATTGCAGTGTTGTTTCTTACACTTAATTACATATCGTTCATTGTTAGATTGATAAACCCAATAGTCAACATTGTATGTTATGTGCCAATGTTGCAGAGCAAAGATGCAAGCTTTCTTGTTTTCAAACTCCATCCCAATCTCTATTTCTTCACCTATATGGTTTGGTATGACACTTCCAAACACGGAGGTTGTCTCATCATGTTCGAAACATATATTTTGCATATGTGTAGGGTGGGTTGTACAAACTTATTGGTTGTACGTGAATCGGCTGCGTAGACGCAATAACTATATCTTCATTGTCTTTATCATCGCTGTCACCAAAAATATCTTGCATCCTGACCTCCTAAAGATCGTCATCGCTTGCTTCTCCAACCTCTTCATTTGGTATGAAAGGTTGGTTGTTTTGTGTTGGTTCGTCGTCAGATGTTTGGCTCATTCCATACCGGTGTGACTGTGTCTCTTGCGTCGGAAATGTTTCGGCATTGTCTAGTAGTCGGACATACAACTCAATTGTAAATAACTGACCAAACATCATGTGGCACCGAAATATTGCCTCCACGTCTTCGTCGTTCCTGATCGATGTCATTACGTAAAAAATTGTACAGTCGTCTTCGTTAAGTATAGGATGACAATAAATTATCTCCTCAACGCATCATGCTATTTTTTTCCATTCTATCTTTGAAATGGAAGTATCTGTGTTACTGAATGAGAATCCAACGGTAGTATTTATTGAAACAACACCATTAAAGTGGCATGTAACAATTATATTTCTCTGAGACATATTTGAAGTGTAAAATATATATTCTTTTTAATGAAATTTGGAGTTATGATACAAATAATAGGATACACACAATTATATAACACATTCATAAAATGGAGTGAAGAAAAAACTCCCTTTGAGCTCGCCAACTCAAAGGGCGAGCATGGTCACGTGTAGCACTTACTCGTCCACCCATTGGGTGAGCACACTCTTGTGCACAAGCCAATTCGTCCACTCAATGGGCGAGTGAGTGATGCATGCTGAAAAAAGTGTCTTGCATGCATGAGACATAGTGTAAGACCTATTCTTGCTAGCTTTGCATGCATTCCATTGTGTAAGACCTAATAAACATTTCCAAGGCCATGCAAACACATAGTATTGTCACTTCATATAGTCACATTTACACTACCAAATGCAAAATATTCATATATAAATTCAGATTTACCTCAAGCAAGTTTCTACACACAATTTTATTTCAAACACAAAGCATTATAACATCAACAAACTCTCTTGCATTTCTTGAAAATTCCTGATACTCAATCAAAATGGCATTGTTGTGGATGGGCGATGAACAACATGGAACACAACAAAACATTCAAGCTAGTGTAAGTTTTTCTTTATTCGAGTGCATTAAAAAATAATGCTTATAATTGCTCGGTTAAATATTATTTCATATAAAAAATAATGATTACAATTGTTTGGTTCAATATTGTTGCAGACTAATGCAAGGTTTAGAGTGCATTCTCATACTCCCATTCAAGCGAGTGCGAGATTAACAGAGTATCTAGAAATAGAAGGTTTTGCTCATATAGCAAAAATAAATAGTCTCAAAATCGACTCAAGCTTAGTTGTGGCTCTGTTAGAGAAATGGAGACCAAAAACACACACTTTTCACTTCCCAACAGGTGAATGCACGATAATGCTAGAAGATGCGAATTTGTTACTTGGTCTCCAAGTTGATGGAAAAGCTATCAACGGTCCTACCGAAGTGACAAATTATGTTTACATGGAAAGCTTAGGGGTGGAACCTAC